TTTTTGTCTGTCAATGTGTGTCACCCAAAATGAGCTCCCATGTCACCTCTGACATGCGTATCATAGGTTCACCATCACGGATCTAGATAACAATCCTCATTAATAAAGTAATTATCAATTATATTTAGGTTATAATATAATTAGTTAATGATTAAACAAAATAATTTGGCTGAAAAGCTGCCATCTTGTCTTAAATTTAATAATTACACAATTATTCATTTTTAATTCTAACTAAAAATTAAAAAGAACACAAACATGATATCAGTACTAATAGTTCCATAACTTTGAGTTTAATTTGTTTGGATATATTTATGATGCATATCAAAGCAAATGAAACTGGAAGTAATACATTAACAAACTATATCATTAGATTTGAGATTTTTATAGTTTAAAATGTGCTATTTAGGAAATGAATTAAATTCATATTGACAATATAAGTTTAAATCTGACGTTTTAAACAAAAATGAAATTCATTTTTTAAATATTTATTCAGCTAGTACAAAATGTGTTGGGACCAATATTACTAGAATAATAAATAACATTGCGACAAATATTTTCTTGTTAAATTTGATAAATTATTCACAATTGGAGAATCTGGTACACTTTAGCTTTCACACTGGATGAGATTCAAACCCATTATACTTTTATCTGAATCTTGATTTCTATCCTTTGTTTTCTAATATATAAACTTATTACCTATCAATGTGATGGGGCTTGAAAGAATATGCTTGGTAATTACAAATACAAACTAAACCTACTCCAAATGATTGTCATCTGAACATACTTCTTGATAGTAAAAACGAAAAAAGTTATGTTTGCAGAAGAGAATATAAATTAGGTTCCCACCTATTTTAATTCCTGTATCAACTCCTTTTTAAGAGACATTATTTTTTATAAATATATTTAAGGGAAAGGCTGATAGAAAAAGTATGTGTATATATTTATACACATTATTTTTATATTTGGAAAACGATTGTACAGTAGAGCATTGATTATCCGACTTAATTGGGGACTCAGGTTGGTCGGATAACTGAAAAATCGGATAACCGAAAAGAATGAAAAAAATAAATTATTAGTATAGTATATTAGTATATCCCATGTAATTAGTATATCAGTATATCGCTATTAACCAACTTCACGTTGAATTTTCATCGATGTTTAGCCTAACANTATTGAAAAATATAAAAACAAAAAAAATTATACTTTAGAAGTTAATCTAGTATCAAAAACATTCCATTCAGCACGACACACAGTCCTCAGAAAAACACCACACAAAAGTGCCAGTTCTGCCAGCTAAAAAACACACATCAACAAAAAAATATTGGAGTAGCCCAAGATATATCCAAAGATTGCAGTGCCACAGCACAAGCGAAAATTTAAATTTGCCGACTGGAATTCTTTCGGATAAACGACGCTCTACTGTACCTCATATTGCACAGCAACATCCAACCAATACTGAAATTCTTCCTATGTTCACTGTGACATATTTGTTGTCACTCCTTCCACATAAGCCATGATTCTATAGCTCTTGCAGGGTACTTGTGTTGTGCAATGATGAACAACAACTTTGTGAATTGCAGATTGCAAAATGTAAGATGCCTTCTCTGTTTTTGTTTACAGCACTTTCTAGTGACATTTAGTAGCACTTAGCAGACAAGACATTTGAATGACGGTGGAGATGAAACTCAGACAGTTACTCTGTTTGATATACACCAATTTTGTACATCAAATACTTATTAGATAATAATTACATAAATTTAAAATGGTATAATTCAGTTTGGAAGACCCTCTACTATATTTTCATTTAAGCAAAGATAATTCTTCAGTTCAAGCAACTCATACTACTAGCATCATCTTACAACTGAAGTAATTATAGTATGTTGTCTTTTGTTTTTTGCTTTCTTTCATACAAAATTAATAATTGATAAATTTGTGAATGAATAATAATTTTTTAAATTACTCAAAGAAAGCAAAGTGTGAGGCTCTGGCTCTTTTGGGAGTTTTAAAAGTTTAAACATTTATAAAATTATCTTTCATCATTATTTCCCTTCTTCCTCCAGTTTTTCCCTTCCCTGGAAGTTGAAGTTAGACCTTTTGACCCATCAGAATACTGCATCACTTCAAAAGGTGACCTTCTAGACTTCATCAGTCACCCTAAATGTCTTTGGAAGTTCTTCCCTCACAACAGAGGATTATTCAGTTCCACCTTCGTTACAATGTACAAATAAGTAGCCAATTAACAAGAACCTCCACCCATAACATGCTGCAGGGGAGCAAAAAGGTCAATTACAGGGGTAGACTGTACGACAAGAAAGCATATCAGATTACCAACAGTGGGGCAGTCATCACTCAGATGATGATTGTTTCATTGTTGGTGGTTTGGTCGGAACATTGGCAATGGCCCCACTGATATTCTGACCATTAATCCAGTGATTTTGACAGCCGTTGTCAAATTTATGATGAGAAAGAGTCACAATTTTGGGTAGAACTGTAATAAATCTAAAGAATCGTCCGATTCTAAGTAAACAACTTTTGATGCAAAGTCGATTGCATCAGATTTTCCCCCGATAATTCCCCCTCCACGACATGTATAAAAAGGGATCGTATCCGCACCTCAGGGCGATCGCTGTGGAGAAGCTCCTAAACTGGGACAATTTGAACCACCTGCTCTTGACTTGGAAACTTTGCAGTCCTTTATCACCAGTGCTACTGAGGTAATGACTTAGAAAAATTTTTACTTCCCTCTCTCTCAGTTTTAGATTAGATTTAGAAAGTTAACAGAAAGGATAGTGGACCTACGGAGGTCCTGACTTTTAAGACAGAACAAAGACCATCTATTCTTGTCACGGCTCGGAATTATTCTTATTATTATTACATTTTTCCTTTTTAATTGAATTTGAATGTACTTGATCTGTATCACTTGTTTGTTAATTAAATATGTGTATCTCATCCTTAATTGTTTGTCATCCTTGAGTATGTCCAACACTTTGTCACGACCTCACTATCCCTCCCACTCAATTAACCAAGCCATCCCCTGACAAAGAAGCTGATAAGTGGGGAGATGCTCAGCGCTCTACCCCCTTGGTTCTCACAAAAGCCTAAAGAGTACTTTCATATTTGTTATTCAAGGCATGTTTTTATTTTCTTCCGTATTTGAATTTTTGTTTATCTGATTTGAAAACATTTTGAGTAATAAAAACAAAAATATTAAAGTTTGATTTCATTGAATGATTTTGAACTTGTTATCAGCTCAAAATCTTTTCTTTATTCAGATATAAAAAAATTTATATGTTGCTTCAGTTATTAAAAGCATGTATACAAAAGTAGTGTAGATAATTAGAAATTGTTTATGCCTACTTATCAATACCCTCATAAAATCAATAAATACAACACGTCTTGTAATAGTTCTCAAATTTTTAAACCCTTGAAAATAATCTCAATATGTAATTGGTTTAAACACCATAATTTACTAGGAATTATCACATCCACAGAAAAAGTGCTTGTGTCTTGTTTAGAAAAAGTGCTTGTGTCTTGTTTGTATGAAAGAAACCCTACTGAGGAGAAGAATATTTTAATTTCTGAAATGCATCTGGGTGAAATGAAATTGTTGATTCACTAGTATTTTTAGAATCTGTGGATGTGGTAATTCCTATAAAATAACAGTGTTTGAACCGATTACATATTAAGATTTAAAAAAAAAAGAGCATAAGATAAATAGAAGCATAAGATATAAATCTTTGAAAATAATTTAGCAAAAATAATTTTTTTATAATATTACAAGATAAACTGTTGATGCTGGATAACAGGCACCATTGTAGTAATAATGACAATAATTTGAAAATTAGTCTCTTCTTTTCTATTATTTTTTAATGATTGAATGTCAGATAACTGTTACTTATAAGTGATACATTCAAAAAATTCACATAAAAGATATTTTATTGACTCTATATACAGAGTGTATATATCAATGTTCATCTACCATGTTGAAACAGACATGTTCAATTATTTATCATATTTATTGACAATAGTGACAATGGAGGGCTGCATGTCTGTCATGTTACAACACAAAAAAACAATATTATTTCTTGAAAATAACTTCTCTCAGATGTTATTCATCCAGGTTTATACACTTGCACACTTGATTGACCACATTTTTCCATCTCTTGCAACAATTTAGCTGTTTGTATGGCATTAATTTTATCCACAGGAAATTAATGCCATACAAGTTCTTTGCTTGAATGTGTTTAGATCTAGAGGGCATGTTTAAAACACATTACCTTTGAGAAATCCCCATATGAAAAATATTACAAGCCAACAGATCAGGTGATTGGGTTAGTCAAAGGATACCTCTAAAATGAGAAATAATCTGATGCTGAAACATTTTTCTAAAAGTGCCCATTGATTGTCAAGTGGTATACACTGTGGTTTTATCTTGTTGAAAATAAACCCTTGCAGGGTCAATGTCCAGGTTGTATAATGCTGGAAACATGTACTTAGTCAGCACCTGTATCATTCTGATGTGTGCAGATGCTGACTGAGCTTTAAGTGGAGTTACTTTCAAGAAATAATATTGTTTCTTGTGTTATAACAAATGGCAGTCTTATATATTGTCATTATCATTATTTTCAGTAAATATGATCAATAATTGATCATATTTATTAACAATAGTGATAATGAAAGGATTCAATTGTATTAACATTCATCTACCATTTTGAAACATACCATTTTGAAAGTATGTTTCAAAATGGTAGATGAATGCTGTCATTTCATTTGCATTGACAAATTTTCACCTTTTACATGTGTCTACATATGGGGAAAGAGGTGGACTCTAAGCTGCAGATAACATTTCTAAAGTTTATTGAGGTTCTCTTCAAAAGGATACAAAATCTGATATTTATTCTTTGTTCAATGCCAGATATTTCTGTATTAAACTGTACTCTGAAATCTTGCTTTCACCATATCATGAAATTCATACACAGAGACATCACAAACTGATTGTGATGTCACCACCTCATGCTGTGATTCAGTACATTGTTGAAAGTATTTAAAAAAAGAAAAGATTCTGAGCCATTCTTACTCCATGTATACACATTACAAACATTTTTCGTGAACTTTTAAACATACCACATATGAAAAAAAAATACATTTTTAAACATTATATACTATAATAGGGTGTTCACTTTGGACGAGACATTTCTGAACTGTTGGATACACAGCGTTGGGCATATTTCATGGTTTCAAGGTCACTAGGGCACCATAGATATTTTTCTTTGTTGATATGTTAAAGCTTTGGTGTATGTAGTCATTCCAGATATAGAAAAATTTAGAGAGAATGTCATTTGTAATTGAATGCATCATTTTACAGATGTTAGAAAATTATGTAGAGAGCTTGACTATTTCCTTCACGTACTACATGTCACAAGATGTTCATATGTTGTTAATTTGTTAATTTACCAATACGAATAAAAATTTTGTAATAAATTGTAATCAGGATAATCATATATGGCTGTCCTGTACATTTTTATGAAAAGTAATTAACATTGTAGATGGAGAATTGAGAAATTAACATTTTTTTAAGATAAAACTCTTATATCATTAATAGCTCATTAACAAGAATTTGTAACATTTTTGTTGTTGATAAAAAGCAAATGAATACTTAGCATTTTTATCTATAATAGTAGCATAGAGATTCTTCTACCAAGTGATTAATTGAAAGGCATGCCAAACTCATGAGTGGTAGTGTAAGATTCAGCAATGTGACAAGCTGGCTGTGAATGTTACTGCCTTGCTACACATCATAAGAAACACTAAAATTTTGAATATTTATTTAGTGAGGACCTGAGAGATAACATTTGAAACTCTATATAAATAATAAGCTCTACTCTTAATTTTATAATGCCAAAATCTGATTTGTTTTATATAAACAAGAACTGTAAAATAATTGAGCTTTTTCATATAATTGTAGAATTTGCTTCTAAGCATTCCCGTATATCTTGAAAAAAATTTTTTTCTCATATAGACACTAAGGACTTCTGCTTATTAAAGTTATTAAACATAAATATTTGGAGAAATAGATGATTTGGATATTTTCACATTAACTGTGTCACTTTATTGTTTGATCATTTTCCTTCATATAATTGTCCACTGTAAAATTCTCTGTTCAGAAATATAAAACATTTCTAGTTATTCAAATACTTCACTACACTTAGAAATAGATGGCATATAGCAGCAACTTCTTCATACTTCTTGATACAAAATACTAAGTACAAAATATTAGGTAATCAAAGGATGAACCCTGTGAGTTCATCCTTTGATTACCTAATATTTTGTACTTAGTAGTAATATCTGATTTACAATGATCAAAATTAATTTTTATTGCATTTGTTAATTTTCTAAATATAATTGTAATATTTACATATTACAGTTATATTTACTTGTACTTACACTATATATTTAAGGTCTGTTTCATATTTATCTGAAAACCTATCAATACCAACTTAATAATGAAATTGGTGCATTTTTTAAATCCAATTTATACAAAACAGTGACTGTTACATTGGCAATGCCCAAGTTAGGACCAACACCATCTGTGACTTTAGGTGCATGAGAACTTTCTGAATAATTATCACGCAACTGGTCACATATGAGGGAATGAATGGGCTTGGGGCAGGAAAGGGAGTTGAGAGATGGCACACCACAAATGATGCATTCCATTATGCATTTAACCCTAAAACAATAAATATTTCTATTTTAAGAATGTAAAATTTACAAAGAAAAATGGAAATAGAGGGAAGGGAGAGAGTAAACATTTATGCACTCCTATCTGAGAGAGAATGTTTACAATTGCACAAGTGGATTGATAAATACTTGGATCTGTAATGTTTGATTGGACATCTGGAAGAGGGGAAAGCTTAGGTGTGATGAGTTTTGAATCCAAACGTCCGGAAAATGTAATATCCATGACGATTGTTTGTAGTTTGTTGCAGCTAAGGTCCAATGAAAATCAGGAAGATTGGCAGTGGAACACAGTGGCTATGAGCACACACTTCAAAAATGGGCAGGCAAAGTCTCTCCGACCTTCTTTTCCCTTTCTTTTTATTTGAGATCTCCCCCACTATACTGATGCTCCAATTTGGTGAGATAATTGGCAGTTAATCCAATCTCCAATTTTTTTGTGAGATTTCATTTGATGAGTAGTTTTTATTTGGAGGATGTGTCATCCACAAAAAAAATGTTAATTGTTGGAAAATCTTGCAAACTTCCTCTGTTGNCCCACTATACTGATGCTCCAATTTGGTGAGATAATTGGCAGTTAATCCAATCTCCAATTTTTTTGTGAGATTTCATTTGATGAGTAGTTTTTATTTGGAGGATGTGTCATCCACAAAAAAAATGTTAATTGTTGGAAAATCTTGCAAACTTCCTCTGTTGAATTTGTCAGTTCAAGTCTAAATAAAATAATCTTATATAATTTTTATGCAAAAATATAAATAAATAAAGATTAAGATCATTGAAATTACAAAAATACTAGCCCAGGTTCTCACAAAACATTTATTTACTAAGGTTTAACTTAATATAATAAATGATTAAGAAAAAAAAAACATATAGTACTTTTGCTTTACAAATATCAAAAACAGAAATGTATCAAAATAAACTGTTTCAAATTTACCCAGACAGTTACTACTTTCCACAAATTAAACTAAAATATGACAATATTATGTACGTAATGTGCAAATTAGAGGCAGCTATCCTAAGGATCTGTGTATGAACTGCAGTTTTAAATATGGGGAGAACAAAAATTTTATTCCTTTATGAACAGGGACCAATTGATCTATATAAATCAGCAGGAAAATCAGTAATGGAAATTGTTGCACTTATTAACAGACAAAAATTAACTTAGGTGATTATTAATCATGATGATAGAGAAAGGACATTTTAAAAAGNTACTGACCTCATCAGAATGCCCTGATTTTGATTATTGCCCAATTAACTGGATTGTATTATTATCGTAAAAGTTTTAATTCAGAAAATAGAAAGTCAATTGATTAAAAAGAAGTTTCTGCATAAATGTGTGCATTTTAATTTTGCTTCATTTTTATTGCAGTGCTTATAATTTGGATATTATTTAATTATTTAAATTATACAGAAAAATCATTTTAATTATATTTGTAATCAGCTTTTACTAAGAATTCTGACTTGTTATATAATTAATTAATAGCGAGGTTGAGGACAAAGTTTTAAATGCGAAAACGTGTACGTTGGACGTTCAGCGCCACTTTCCTGTAAGCCTAGAAGTTTGACAATGGTGTTTGGATAGTCAGTGGAATCATGCTTGACATTCCAAACACCATTGTCAAACTTCTAGGCTTACAGGAAACTGTCGCTGAACATCTGACGTACAAGTTTTCGTGTTTAAAACTTTGGCCTCAACCTCGCTAATGTATATCTTAACAGTCAAGCCTTATTAATGTTAGTACAAGATAGTGACCTAACATTCTAAACTTTAGTCCAAATTAAGCCCAGAACTTTTATGGATTATGATCTCTAAAATCTTGAAAAATTTTATCATTAAATGAAGTTTTTAAAGAAATTCATCTTTTATTTCTTTAATTTCATTCTCAATATGAATTCATTAATGTTTCTAAATAAATATAAACATGTTTTAAACAGAAATAAAATAAGTATAATTATTATATATTATATGATTTGTTTCTCACAGGTCAGTTAGGATTAAATCAAATAAAAAGCTGCAATCAACCACAAAAAATCAGTTTACCTCCTGACTGTCATCCAAAATCTATATTTTGTGGTTCAGACTGTTCCTTTCTTTTGACTTCCAATCATGGTATTCTTGCATGTGGAAGCAACAGGTACAGTACATTATCGATCACATTTATATTATTTAAAATAATTATAATATATAACTAAATTGGTTTAAACTTTTATGGATTTTAGACATAATAAATTAGCTATGGACACAGAAGATGGTCAGCACGTTGATGGAACAGATATTTTCGAACCCATGCGTTCAGATCCCATTCCAAACTTAAAGATCGTTTCTGTTTCAGCAGGACTTTCTCATACGGCCATTTTGACAGGTACTTGAATATTATCATTATTTACTTTAATATAATAAATACAAGCATAAAATTGAACACTTCAAATTCATTTTTCATTAAAATCTAGCATAAGATATTTATCTTAGCTAATCTGTAGAATATTTATATTTAAATTGTTTTCATTTAATTTAAGTCAATNAAATATGACAATATTATGTACGTAATGTGCAAATTAGAGGCAGCTATCCTAAGGATCTGTGTATGAACTGCAGTTTTAAATATGGGGAGAACAAAAATTTTATTCCTTTATGAACAGGGACCAATTGATCTATATAAATCAGCAGGAAAATCAGTAATGGAAATTGTTGCACTTATTAACAGACAAAAATTAACTTAGGTGATTATTAATCATGATGATAGAGAAAGGACATTTTAAAAAGGAAGACAGGACCCAAACCTAAACTGATATCTTGGACATGTAGACAAATAGTGTTGAGTTATGCCAAAAAATTGATAGGAATTCCTCAATAGGAAATTAAAGAAGGAAATAGACTTGCCTTGAATGCATATAATTATATAGAGGGCTTGGCGTTAATTGTCTATTCTAAAATACAGAAAGAAAGGTACTTAACATCAATACAAACAAGGAAGATATAATTGGGCTATAAATCAATATGTTATATGTTACTAATTAATTTGTAATAAGATATATTTGAATTATGTTTTTCAAAATTTTAGGTTGTTGGAACGCCTTGTTATATTTCGCCCGAGCTCTGTGAAGGAAAACCGTATCTTTAACATATAAATGAAAATACATGAGCTGGAGCAATGAATGGATTGAAATACTGTTTAGTGATGAGAAGAAGTTTAATCTGTATGGCTCGGATTGTTGTGCCTATTACTGACATGATTTAAGAAAACAGCAAGAGATATTTTTAAATCATGGATCAATGATGATATGGGATGGTTTTGCCTCTAACAGAACAACAGAATTAGCATTTATAGCCCAGAAAATGAATTCAGAGGATTACCAAAACATGCTCTGTGATCATTTAGCAGAAGCTGACCCATTATTGTTGCTCAAATTGGACTTTCCAGCAGGACAATGCACCTATACACAACTCAAAATCTACAAAATCATGGTTCAAAAACAATAATATAAAAGTTATAAACTGGCCTGCAAGAAGTGTAGATAAATATGAAAACAGACCTTATGTTACTAATTAATTTGTAATAAGATATATTTGAATTATGTTTTTCAAAATTTTAGGTTGTTGGAACGCCTTGTTATATTTCGCCCGAGCTCTGTGAAGGAAAACCGTATCTTTAACATATAAATGAAAATACATGAGCTGGAGCAATGAATGGATTGAAATACTGTTTAGTGATGAGAAGAAGTTTAATCTGTATGGCTCGGATTGTTGTGCCTATTACTGACATGATTTAAGAAAACAGCAAGAGATATTTTTAAATCATGGATCAATGATGATATGGGATGGTTTTGCCTCTAACAGAACAACAGAATTAGCATTTATAGCCCAGAAAATGAATTCAGAGGATTACCAAAACATGCTCTGTGATCATTTAGCAGAAGCTGACCCATTATTGTTGCTCAAATTGGACTTTCCAGCAGGACAATGCACCTATACACAACTCAAAATCTACAAAATCATGGTTCAAAAACAATAATATAAAAGTTATAAACTGGCCTGCAAGAAGTGTAGATAAATATGAAAACAGACCTTATGTTACTAATTAATTTGTAATAAGATATATTTGAATTATGTTTTTCAAAATTTTAGGTTGTTGGAACGCCTTGTTATATTTCGCCCGAGCTCTGTGAAGGAAAACCGTATCTTTAACATATAAATGAAAATACATGAGCTGGAGCAATGAATGGATTGAAATACTGTTTAGTGATGAGAAGAAGTTTAATCTGTATGGCTCGGATTGTTGTGCCTATTACTGACATGATTTAAGAAAACAGCAAGAGATATTTTTAAATCATGGATCAATGATGATATGGGATGGTTTTGCCTCTAACAGAACAACAGAATTAGCATTTATAGCCCAGAAAATGAATTCAGAGGATTACCAAAACATGCTCTGTGATCATTTAGCAGAAGCTGACCCATTATTGTTGCTCAAATTGGACTTTCCAGCAGGACAATGCACCTATACACAACTCAAAATCTACAAAATCATGGTTCAAAAACAATAATATAAAAGTTATAAACTGGCCTGCAAGAAGTGTAGATAAATATGAAAACAGACCTTATGTTACTAATTAATTTGTAATAAGATATATTTGAATTATGTTTTTCAAAATTTTAGGTTGTTGGAACGCCTTGTTATATTTCGCCCGAGCTCTGTGAAGGAAAACCGTATCTTTAACATATAAATGAAAATACATGAGCTGGAGCAATGAATGGATTGAAATACTGTTTAGTGATGAGAAGAAGTTTAATCTGTATGGCTCGGATTGTTGTGCCTATTACTGACATGATTTAAGAAAACAGCAAGAGATATTTTTAAATCATGGATCAATGATGATATGGGATGGTTTTGCCTCTAACAGAACAACAGAATTAGCATTTATAGCCCAGAAAATGAATTCAGAGGATTACCAAAACATGCTCTGTGATCATTTAGCAGAAGCTGACCCATTATTGTTGCTCAAATTGGACTTTCCAGCAGGACAATGCACCTATACACAACTCAAAATCTACAAAATCATGGTTCAAAAACAATAATATAAAAGTTATAAACTGGCCTGCAAGAAGTGTAGATAAATATGAAAACAGACCTTATGTTACTAATTAATTTGTAATAAGATATATTTGAATTATGTTTTTCAAAATTTTAGGTTGTTGGAACGCCTTGTTATATTTCGCCCGAGCTCTGTGAAGGAAAACCGTATCTTTAACATATAAATGAAAATACATGAGCTGGAGCAATGAATGGATTGAAATACTGTTTAGTGATGAGAAGAAGTTTAATCTGTATGGCTCGGATTGTTGTGCCTATTACTGACATGATTTAAGAAAACAGCAAGAGATATTTTTAAATCATGGATCAATGATGATATGGGATGGTTTTGCCTCTAACAGAACAACAGAATTAGCATTTATAGCCCAGAAAATGAATTCAGAGGATTACCAAAACATGCTCTGTGATCATTTAGCAGAAGCTGACCCATTATTGTTGCTCAAATTGGACTTTCCAGCAGGACAATGCACCTATACACAACTCAAAATCTACAAAATCATGGTTCAAAAACAATAATATAAAAGTTATAAACTGGCCTGCAAGAAGTGTAGATAAATATGAAAACAGACCTTATGTTACTAATTAATTTGTAATAAGATATATTTGAATTATGTTTTTCAAAATTTTAGGTTGTTGGAACGCCTTGTTATATTTCGCCCGAGCTCTGTGAAGGAAAACCGTATCTTTAACATATAAATGAAAATACATGAGCTGGAGCAATGAATGGATTGAAATACTGTTTAGTGATGAGAAGAAGTTTAATCTGTATGGCTCGGATTGTTGTGCCTATTACTGACATGATTTAAGAAAACAGCAAGAGATATTTTTAAATCATGGATCAATGATGATATGGGATGGTTTTGCCTCTAACAGAACAACAGAATTAGCATTTATAGCCCAGAAAATGAATTCAGAGGATTACCAAAACATGCTCTGTGATCATTTAGCAGAAGCTGACCCATTATTGTTGCTCAAATTGGACTTTCCAGCAGGACAATGCACCTATACACAACTCAAAATCTACAAAATCATGGTTCAAAAACAATAATATAAAAGTTATAAACTGGCCTGCAAGAAGTGTAGATAAATATGAAAACAGACCTTATGTTACTAATTAATTTGTAATAAGATATATTTGAATTATGTTTTTCAAAATTTTAGGTTGTTGGAACGCCTTGTTATATTTCGCCCGAGCTCTGTGAAGGAAAACCGTATCTTTAACATATAAATGAAAATACATGAGCTGGAGCAATGAATGGATTGAAATACTGTTTAGTGATGAGAAGAAGTTTAATCTGTATGGCTCGGATTGTTGTGCCTATTACTGACATGATTTAAGAAAACAGCAAGAGATATTTTTAAATCATGGATCAATGATGATATGGGATGGTTTTGCCTCTAACAGAACAACAGAATTAGCATTTATAGCCCAGAAAATGAATTCAGAGGATTACCAAAACATGCTCTGTGATCATTTAGCAGAAGCTGACCCATTATTGTTGCTCAAATTGGACTTTCCAGCAGGACAATGCACCTATACACAACTCAAAATCTACAAAATCATGGTTCAAAAACAATAATATAAAAGTTATAAACTGGCCTGCAAGAAGTGTAGATAAATATGAAAACAGACCTTATGTTACTAATTAATTTGTAATAAGATATATTTGAATTATGTTTTTCAAAATTTTAGGTTGTTGGAACGCCTTGTTATATTTCGCCCGAGCTCTGTGAAGGAAAACCGTATCTTTAACATATAAATGAAAATACATGAGCTGGAGCAATGAATGGATTGAAATACTGTTTAGTGATGAGAAGAAGTTTAATCTGTATGGCTCGGATTGTTGTGCCTATTACTGACATGATTTAAGAAAACAGCAAGAGATATTTTTAAATCATGGATCAATGATGATATGGGATGGTTTTGCCTCTAACAGAACAACAGAATTAGCATTTATAGCCCAGAAAATGAATTCAGAGGATTACCAAAACATGCTCTGTGATCATTTAGCAGAAGCTGACCCATTATTGTTGCTCAAATTGGACTTTCCAGCAGGACAATGCACCTATACACAACTCAAAATCTACAAAATCATGGTTCAAAAACAATAATATAAAAGTTATAAACTGGCCTGCAAGAAGTGTAGATAAATATGAAAACAGACCTTATGTTACTAATTAATTTGTAATAAGATATATTTGAATTATGTTTTTCAAAATTTTAGGTTGTTGGAACGCCTTGTTATATTTCGCCCGAGCTCTGTGAAGGA